CAATTTTTTTTTTTTTTGGACATCAACCTATACTATCAAATTTCTCTATCCTCTGCAAGTCTAATACATGTCCCCTTTTTGTCAATAAACATTGTTGTATATTATAAGTGTCGTAATTTTGTTTATTATCAAACTTCGTTTTCCTTCGAACACATCGATTGCAAATAAACAAAGTACACGATACTATAGAATAGGCCAATTCGACACGATAGTAACGAGGCAAACATACATAACCCTAATTCAGAATAAAACTGCACAATCTAAGTAAGTTGATCCAATTTTGCCTTTGTATTCTGAAACTAACTCGAAATTAATAAGACTATTTTTAAGAATTTAATAATGATATTGATTGGGGTCTTAGATAATAATAAAATAATTAGTGAGCTTAGCATTAAACTGTCTTTTAGTCCCCAGCACCTTCTCCAGTCACCTTCACATTCTCTGTTTTGGAAACTGAAAACTTTCGTAACAAAAATCCAAATACAATATACAAACATTCAAATCCAGCTGGGCACAGTACAGCTAGTCCATTGTATAGCTTTGAGCTTAATATCAAACAAACAAAAAATCAAACATTTAATACACAATAATCAAACCAAAAATCGAACGTTTAATACACAATGTTTTACTCAAGTCCGTATAGTATTTTCCAAGTTATTGAACAGGATTGTGTTAAGTTAGTAAAGTTTTATTGACGAAATTCATTAATAAAAGTAATAAATAGCTTTCGATCTATTATTCCATTTATACCTATTATTAAGTTTCAGTCAAAGTTTATTTCTAATATAAATCATTTTCTGATTTCTAATACTTGAAAATGTATTTGAAGGAATACATCTTTAAGTATTAGAAATCAGAAAATTGTTCATATTTTAGAAATACACTGACTCAAGCTTAATATCTAAACCTACATCTCAATTTCTCATGTAAGTAGTTGAATATTCTAATTTTATAATCAAATATTTTTGTCACATATTACTCAGGTAAGTACCAGCTGTCGCCTCTTTTCTTACTACAGCTTTTTGTTTATTTGTTTGTTTTTGAATTTCGCGCAAAGCTACACGAGGGCTATTTGCGCTAGCCGTCCCTAATTTAGCAGTGTAAAACTAGAGGGAAGGCAACTAGTCATCACCACCCACCGCTAACTTTTGGGCTACTCTTTTACCAACGAATAGTGGGATTGACTGTCACATTATAACGCTCCCACGGCTGAAAGCGCGAAGATGTTTTGGTGTGACGGGGATTCGAACCCGCGACCCTCAGAGTCGAGCGCCCTAACCACCTGGCCATGCCAGGCCATCTTCAGCTTTTTAAGAACTGATCTGTCTATTAGAGTTATTATAAAGACATATCACGAGTACGTTTATCCTAAATTAGAACATTGAGATTTTTCTTATTGTTGGCGAATAATAATAACAAGACCAGGAGAAGGTCAGAAACTTTCTATTTTTTTCTTAATAAGTCAGATATTACAAATACTTATCTATATATTTAAAGCACAAGTTGTTGTGAAGAAGTAGTTAAACCTATTTGGATTTTATTTGATAAATGAACTCAAATGGAATTCCCCACATCCAAAGATAGAGTTTAATTGAATAAGTAATTGTCTTAATACTGCGATTGAGGGCTCAGAGGTCGGTGGTAGAA